CTGATAAATCTCTAAACACTAAACAGGAAAGTCAAGAATGCCTGCAAATACAAGTGGGCCTTGACTTAGAAAAAAATTATAGCAAGAATTTTTGATAGACCTTTCAGAACTTGATGGGTGGATAATAAGGATATCAAGGGTAAATTCAAGTTAAAATATGTACCTGAAGTCTGTTCCCCAAAGAATGCTATATATTTTCTTCTTTCAAGTGCACAAAACATTTTAACAGTAATATGTAGTAATATGCAGTTTAATAGTAATCATGTAGTTGGCCAAAAAGCAGATATAAATGTCTGATAAGAAGAGATTTTTCCAGACCACATTCATTAAATCACAGCCCATAAAACTAAAACTCAACAAGCAAATTTAATTATTTTCTCCACAGTATTACAGACTTAGAAATTCAGGATCCCATCTACTTAATCGTTGGACAGAAATTGATTTACAGCCAGGTGTGGTGGTACACACCCATAATCCCAGCCCTCCCCTACCCCTTCCCCACACACAAGAGGGTCATGAGTCAAGGCCAGCCTAGGCTATATAGCAAGTTCAAGGCCAGCCTGAGCTACAGGATCTCAAACAACCAAAACTACAAAAGCTGATTTACAACAGAACAGCTAGAGAGCAACAGACAGGGAGGACATTGTACAAAGGGGTGCCAGCTAGAACTGTACTCAAAGCAGAGCGGTAAGCATTACATACTTCTTAAATTAAAGGACTAAAATTCAATAACCAATGTAGATATTAAAAGGAGAGCCATAAAATAAGCCAAAAGTAGGAAGGAATGAATAAAGACTGAAATTAATGAGTAATGAATGGGAAATGTAGAAAAAATAAAAAATAAATACAAACTGAAAATTCTGGTATATCCAGTTAGAACCTCATTCATAATACCTAATAATTCTACTCATTTGGAAAACTTAACAGCATCATAAAACTCTTCCTAAATGCATACTCAGGAACAGTCCAATCAGGGTCCTTCTAGGTTGCTTATTCCAGTGCTATTTCAAATCAATAAATACAGTCAATGATCTCAACCCCCAGCAGTGTGAAAAAGGTTGAATAAATTATGGTGATTCTGCAGTAAGAACATTCCACAGCTAGTGACCTGAAGTAACAGTAACCCAGAGTCACTGCCTGCAACAAACAAGTCACAAACAGGCTGCAAGACAAGCTCCACAGCGGGAACCTGTGAAAGGACCAAAGTTTTGGGGCCGGGGATATAGCTCAGTGGCATAAGCACCTGCCTGGCAAGTGCAAGGTGCTGAGTTCGATTCCCAGTACTCCCCCCCTCAAAAAAGGACCAAAGCTTCCTAGCTGCCCAAATCTGTGCAGAGAGGAGAGGGAGTCCAGCAGCCTGTAGTTCCCAGCCAGACCCCAGGACAAAAGGGAGCCACAGGCCAGCCCCCAGGACAAAAGGGATGAGGAGCTAAGAAAACACAAGCACTCCCTGAAGGACATTCTCCCGCCAAAGGCTCAAGATCCTGGGCGCCTGCTCCGTGTCACTCATTTGTTCCAATCTGACTGCTGTTCCCATTGTCCCACCAAAATAGCTACTGCTCATCCTTCCCGTCACTGGTCGCGGCAGTAATGCCACGACTGGTCACCCGTCCTACCAAAGCAGGTTGACTCAGGCTCCTGCAATGGGTCCTCTTGGGATGCTGATTGGTGCATCTTTCTTTTCATTTACATCACCATGCCCTTGACTCCAAATATAAACAGAACCTCAATAAAACCTCTGTCCAAGCCAGACACCTCCTGACCCCCAGACTCATGGACCTACTCGGTGTCTCCAAGGTACCACATCCCAAAGTGAATTTGGGACGTTCCCCACTCCAAACTGGGTCTCATCCAGCCTCTCATCGTAGGCCTCAGGACACCCATAGGGACAAGCCTAGGATGGAGGGTGTGGCCTCTCCTTGTGGGCGCCCAGCCCACAGCTAGGCCAACAGTGGACACTAATGAAGAGTCCAACAGAAACAACCCTTGTCACCTACTTCCTAAAAATATCTGTGACCTTTTTGGCAGACACAGAGAGCTCTACTACCATACTCCTTCCACACTGACCACCTTTTTCCCCAGAGATGACACGCTGCATGCTTAGCATGCCACAGACTGCCTCACCCCATACGTTCTTCCTCCCCACCCCCACCAGATGGTCCTCACCTCTCCTCACTGTCCCCCAAGCCAGCCTCCCCACTGCCCAGGGACAGGGGAGGCAGGTGACCTGTGACTTCCCTCTCAATCGCCTGCCTACTTTTCTTCTAAGGTGCAAACACCTTCATGAGCACACACACCTGGGTAAGAGATGGGGCCGAGCCGGTCTTCGACCTCCAGCTAAAATCCCCCAGACACCATGGTTCCTCGAGGCAACATACCCACAATATCTATTTCCTTTTTTTCTCTCTCTCTTTTGCAGCACTGGGGATGGAACCCAGAGCCTCACACTTGCTAGGCAAGCGCTCTGTCACTGAGCTACACCCCCAGCACCCACACACCCACAATATCATCGCAATCACCTCCTCCTCACGGATCTCAAATGCCTCCTGCAAATGTCCTGCAGCAGCAGACTGTCATCAGAACATTGGGGCCAGGTGACTAAAAGGCAAAGATGAGAACTCTCTACCCGATTTCTCAGTGCCCCCACCTGTCACTACCTGGCACCAGCCCAGGCAGGGCCAGCTGTACTCAGGTATGTTCTTAGGATCCTCTCGTGACTACTGTGTGACTATCAGACCTTCATTTCAGGGGTCCCCAGGGCGAGGGTCAGCAGGGCCTAATGTGGAATTGTTCTGATGGTTACTAAAGAGTTCCCTTCTAAACAGAGCTCAACTACAACTCCATGTACAAATACCAGCTCCCACCAGGGAAACCTCAGTTTCCTCATTACCCTAGAAGCTTTCCTATCTCAGAGTCACTCAAATTCCCAATGTTCTGGCAACAGTGGGATCCAAGGGTGTTGGAAAGAAAAACCCAGAGAACCAGAGTCTACGGCCTCAAGGAGGCCGGCACCCAGCCCCTACCAAAGGACTCCCATGGGATGCACTGCCAGGAATCGCTGCCGCCTTAAGAGGAAGGAAGACAGGAAGGAAGGGTCCTGGGCCCCAGTTCCCCTCGGGGTTTCTTCGCTGGATTCTACAGAGTTCCTACTCCACTCCTCTCCAACTCCCATCCCCTCCTCCCATCCCATGACCACAGCATCACAAGTCCATCCTGGTCACATGGACAAAGCAACCAGGATGGGTCCTTCCTGCTATTCTGCTCCAGAAGAGGATCAAATGGTAGGACTTGTCCTTTCATCTCCTCTCTCACCTTGAAGCCTGGATGCACTTCCAGCTCACCCTCCCGGCTTATGTCTGCCTCCCGAATCAGTCCAATACTCTAAGTACTGAGGAACTACTGTACTTCCTCTACCTGGCTCTCACTCAACGTTTCCTGTGCATCTAATATAGCAAGGTCCATCCTGGGTGCTGTACAAGACCAAGAAGTGAGTGAGAAGCAGCTCTGCACTGCAGAGACCAAGGACAGGGCAGGGGTGAGACACGTGGCCACACTAGTACTACTCAAGGCTCCCAGGTGGGTCCTGAGAACTGGCGGGGGTGGGGGGCGGGATTGGGGGCGCTGCGTGAGCCAGGGCAGGGCATGGCCTGTCCCTCTGTGGGCAGCAGGCACTGGCATGGCCGGCACATGACGGGCACAATGAGCAAAGGAGGGCACTGCAGGACAGAGCAGCCTGAGAGAAGCAGGGAGCCAGCTCAGAAGGGCAGTTCCCCCTGACTGCACCTTCTGATGTAAGCAAGAAACAGCTACTATTATTGTATTATTCATTAGTGCTTGCATCTGATTGCTTACACATCAGTGCTTTGCTCACTACATGCCCAACCTGAGTGACATCCACCTGGGACACACGGACAGGGCATACCAGTCGCCACCCATCCTGCATGGCCGGTACTTAAGCACCGTACAGTGGTTTCAGATACTAATTCACTGAATCCACGCAAGAAGCCTGGGAAGTGCATGTTATAATGATGCCCATTTTACAGAGGCAGAAACAGAGCACAGAGAGGTGCGAGATCAGGGAGCCCAAGGCAGGGAGCAGCCAAGGCCAGGGCAGCCCCTCACCTGGCCTCTCATGCCTGTGAACACCTTGCTGCCCATCACAGCCTGAAGGGAAGTGGCTCCACTAATCCCCCTGCAAATCCCCCATAACTGACTGCAACATGCATGGGAACGAGGGACACAATGTGAGCCAGCTATAAGGGTCAGCAAGATTGCCAGGCCCCCTGGAAGCCGGTGGTCCCTACGGTGTGGGCAGGGCAGCAGGGGGCTCAGCCTTGAAGGGCAAGGGCCAGCAGCGACGAGAAAGAAGGCTGGGGACGGAAGAGGAGACCTACAAGGATACCTAGGGTCTGTCCCTAGACATCCCAACTCCACAGAGAGGTCACTGGTTAGGGCGCGAGGACAGATGTGTCCTGTGAGCAACGTCCCCAGCTCGGGCTAGCACTGGCTAGCTTAGCCTTTCCCCTCCAGTCTCAAGATAAGGAACTTCACATCTGTGCTTCTGACCCACAGACCGGTTTCTCCTTTCTCAGTCCTCAGGAGCCCGCCCCAAGCCCAAGGGATCAGCCAAATCCTAGAATCCCCGCAAAACCTAAGGTCGCGGCTGAAAAAGGGTTAGGTTGCATTCTTTCGATTCCTTCGGTCGGAGCCTTACAAATAAGGCGCAATGGTGGCCGCTCCCAGGAATCCGCGTCCTTCAGCTCAGAGTAAAGTCCCCCAGGCACCTTCGCCGCACGCTCCCCAGCACAGCTGGGCCCTTCCAGAACCCCGCAGGCGGGCACTCGACCAGCGGTCGGGAGAGGCTCAGGTCACCGCCCTGCACGCTCCAGGCCCGGCCCGCACCCCCGGCCCACCCCACCCCAAAGCCGGCGACCAGGAAGCACAGGGCCGAGCCCGGAGGGGCGCGGAGCTCCAACGCCAGCGCGCCGGACCTCACTCACCTGGCCCCGGACGCCGAGGGGCGAGCGCGCACGCGGCAGCAGCGACCTCTCAGCGGCCGCCTCGGTTCTGCTGGACCTTGGCCCCGCTCCGCAGCGCTCAGGACCCGCGGCGCCTGGGCCGGGAGGGCGGGACGGGGGAGGAGCCCCAGGGCGGAAAACTCCCGGGGCGCCGCGCCCCACACCCCCCCCCGGGGCGGGGCTGGCTGCAGGGGACCCGGCTTCTCGGCAGGGGCGGGGCCAGCCTCTGCTGAGGGCGGGGCGAAGTGCCCGGCCGGGGCGGGGCTGGCTGCAGGGGACCCGGCTTCTCGGCAGGGGCGGGGCCAGCCTCTGCTGAGGGCGGGGCGAAGTGCCCGTCGGGGCGTGGCCTGAGCTGGCCCGGCCCCCAGGTGGAGGCCGGGACGGGACCTGCGGAAGGAAGCCTCTGTCTTTCCGGCAACGGGGCGGAGGAGGGGCCCAGGGCGGAAAACTCTAGGGCAGTGGAGCCCAACCCAGTCCGGGGTGGGGCGGGGCCCCTCGGAGGAGACACGCGGCTGACGGGGGCGTGGCCACACCTCGGCGGGGGCGTGTCCTCGGTGGGGGCGGGACCTTCCCGTGACCCGGGCGGAGCAGGGTACCTAGGGACTCTTCCCGACCTCTTCGCGCTCCGCGCAGCGCTGGCCTCCAGGGAAGAGCGCATCCCCCAACGTTATGCAGCCCCGTGTAGGTTGTTAGTGACACTTTAGGGTGAAGGAAACTTTCTACATTAAAAAGGTCACACGGTACAGAGGGGGAGGTGGCGCGCGGTTTCATAGTGCAGAAACCCAACCCTCACCTCCGCGGGTGCTCACAGCCAGCAACCTCAGTGACGACCCTACCCACTGGACGGACCGCAGTGGCCTCCTCCCCACAACACAGAGCCCCATTGCGATCGTGCAAAACACCGGGCAGACCCCCGGGAGAGACACTGTGGGGAACACTCGGCGCTCAAACCCAAGGTCATCAAAACCAAGGGAAGGCCTAAGGACACAGGAAAACTAAATGGGACGCGGAATCTGGGATGGGATCCTGGAAAAAGACATTAGGTCAAAACCAAGGACCTCCTGAGTGGTTAGCAAGAACGCATCAGTACTGGTTCATTCACTGTGGCAAAAACTCCACACTAACGTGTCCGGAGAAACCCGGGTTAAGGGCAATTTCCTGTGTTATTTTCACAATTCTTCTACAAGTCTGTAACCGTTCTAAAAATATTCCTTTTCTAAATGGCCGTGCAGGTAACACGTGAATATATGGCAGTGACAAAACGTCCAAAAAGGGAAAGCTGAAACTCACTTGCACTCCCTCTTTCCGGAGTCTGCCCACGTCTCTCTGTTCCACACACTACGTGTGTGTGTGTGTGTGTGTGTGTGTGTGTGTGTGTTTACACAAATGTATTGGCTGCAAAACAGCGTGGCAGCATTTTTGCTCTACCCGCTGGAGTCGACCCGGTTCTGCTCAGAGCCAGCACAGCATACGTTGTCGTCAAAGACAGCATTTATGGGCGTCTGCTACTGGGAGTTGAACCCAGGGCCATCACACTGAGCTACATTCCCAGCCTTTTTTTTAATTTTTGTTTTTTTAACATAAGGTCCCTCTAAGTCACTAAATTGCCCGGGCTGGGCTAGAATTGAGGTCCTCCCGCCTCAGTCCCCCACCCTCACTACTGGGGTTACAAAGCGCGCCACCTACACGGGGCAGCAGGACCATTCTTTGTCACCTAGATCCTAACTAAAGGACTCCTAGGTGGTTGCCTCTTTTTGACTGTGCGCTGGGTCTATTTGCATTTCAAGAGCACATTACTCGGAGCCTGGTCTGATGGGGCAAGCCTGTAATCCCAGCACTCGGGACACCGAGGCTGGAGAATCACTAGGAGTTCGAGGTCAGCCTGGGCTACATAGCAGGTTCAAGGTTCAAGGCCAGGCAGAACTACACAGGGAGACGTTGTCTCAAAAACAGCAACAGAAAAGAGAACTTGGAGAGCAGGAAGACCACGGTGCGCAGGAGCGGGCTGGAGCTCAGGCCCCGGGCCAGGATGCGCGGCTGGGCGGGACCCCCTCAGGCAGCCCTCAGCCTGGCCCAGGGACCAGAACAATTCTGTGGCCTCTTCCACGCGCGCACCTCTCTTTCGGGGCAGTTTTTGGACATGAGTGCGGGCGGATGAGGATGAAATCCAGGCCAAAGGCTAGAGAGCAGCTCGCAGAAACGCCTCCTGGGACCGCGGAGGAGCCGACAGTCCGAGGGAACTGGGGTTGGTTATTACCCTGGGGAACGAGCGGTCGTCCTCTGGCGCGCATTAGGCGCGAGGACCCGGGCGTGGGGTCTGAAGCCCCCAGGAGACGTGCGCAGCTAGCTGCTGCCTCCGCTGGGCCGGGAAGGTCGCCTGGAGAGCACCCAATTCTGCCCCTTCGCAGCGACCGCAAAGCGAGCTTCCCACGACCCACTTTTCTCCGTGCCTAAGCGAATGATTCCACGAATGATACCTTCAAAAATAAACAACCCAGCTGAGCGTGTGGAGCACGCTTGTAATCCCAGTACGCTGGGGGATCGCAAGTTCTGGCGATTTTAGCGAGATCCTGTAGCAAAAAAAAAAAAAAAAAAAACAAGAAAAGAAGAGATAAAGGCTCAGTGCGGAAACCCCGGGTTCTATCAGTACGGCAAAACACACAAGTAAATATAATCCTTTAGGTTGAAATTTCATCTGTTTGTAGTCGCAACACCCTGGGAGCAAAAAGACGCAAAACTTGGTGTTCCTACTGTCAGGGTTCCAGTTCCAACTCTGACATTCCCGAGGGGTACTGCTTCCTATCCTCTGCTGGTTCACCTATAAAGTCTTCAAAGTGATCTGTAAAAATCCATACACTAACCCTGGCTTCCTTGGTGCTCAGGGTGGATACGAACACCAAATGAAGTAAGAGAAGTTAAGAGCCTTATGAAAGCAAGGTCACCTGCTGCGAAGCTCTGGGTAGCGCGGCGGTACTGTAATGTTGATTGCATTGATTGTTTCAAAAGGAGTGAGAGGTAGAACCAGCCATAGGACGCCCCTGCTTGGTGCCAGGCACAGAGGAACAAAAGAATATCCCTGCAGCCTTTGTTTTTTGTCTCTTGGAGATAGGGTCTCACTGTGCAGATAAGGCTGGTCTTGAACTCACTTTGTAGCCCAGAACGGCCTCGAACTCACAGTGATCCTCCCGCCTTAGCCTTCTGAGCGCTAAGATTTATCCCGGCATTCTTTTCTTTTGGGGGGGGGTTTGGTTTTTCTCCGGTACCAGGAACCGAACTCACGACCTTGCGCTTGTCAGGCAAGTGCTTTTGCCGCTGAGCTAAATCCCCAGCCCCCTATCTTGGCATTCTTAACACAGCTCCTAATCACATGGGGAAATAGATCATAAATACCACAGGAGATAGAGGTTTACAGGAAGGATCCTTGGGGTAGATGAAAGGCCAGTGGGGTATGGGAGGCACAAAGCTTTCTGATCCTTCCCATTAGGCTTGACAAGAATCAGCTTTTAATTTCTTTTTAAATCATGTTAATTCTTTTTTCTAATTATTACTTTCAGTTATACATTTACTTGTGGTATTATAGTTGCCTTCTGCTTTCTTTGGAACTGTGTGTGTGTATGTGTGTATTTTCCTGGTTTCTTCTCTTTTCTGTGGGTTGTTTTGTTTTGTTTTGTTTTGTTTTGTTTTGTTTTTGTCTTTTTGAGACAGGGTCTTGCTATGCAATTTAGGCTGGCCTTGAGCTCACTTTGTAGTCTGGGCTGGTCTCAAACTCACAATGATCCTCCTGCCTCAGCCTGCCGAGTACTGGGATTACAGGCATGCACCACCATACCTGGCCTGGTTTCTAAATTGAATGCTATGATTATGTATTTTCAAAGTTTTTTTGTTGGTGCTTTCTAGTAAAAAGATATAATCATAAATATCCCTCTACATCCTGCTTTAGCTTCATTTTCATATGCCAGGCTTTTGTCGCTTTATTTATTTATTTATTTATTGGTCTTTTTGAAACAGGGTCTCCCTGTGCAGTTCAGGCTGAACTTGAGCTCACTTTGTAGCCCAGGTTGGCCTCGAACTCACAACAATCCTCCTGCCTCAGCTTCCCAAGTGCTGGGATTACGGCATGCACCACCACGCCCGGCCCTGTTGCTTTTAAATTATAAATACATTGAGCCAGGCATGGTGGCACATGCCTGTAATCCCAGCACTCAGGAGGTTGACACAGAAGTATCTCTGAGAATCTAAGGCCAGCCTGAACTACATACCAAGACCCTGGCTCAAACGACAAGTTATAAATACCTTTGGGTTTTATTAAGATTTTACCCTGAATTCATGGGTTATTTAGAAGTAGGTTTTCTGGGATTTTTGTGTTTTGTTTTCAGATTTGTGGGGTTTTTAAAAAAGCAATCATATTGTCATTTATTTCTGACTTTAATGCTTGGAGATAAAGAAGTGTTCCTTATAGAATTTGTTGAGACTTCCTTCGTGGCTTCACATACAGACTCGTTTTTATGAACACGTTTCCATTCTTTATATTTCAAAGTTCTGTCTCTCTCCTCCCAAGGTGCTAAACAGATTATTTAGATTGCATATCTCCTTTTATTTAGTTTTTCCAACTCAAGCTATTGATTTCTGTGAGAGTAATTTTACATTTCCCATTTTTATTCTAGATTGTTAATTTCTGTCTATAGCCAGGTCTGATTTGACCTTTTAATTTTGAAAGCAAACTATTAGGCTCATAGTTTACGTCTGAGTTGCTTTTCTTTCATTGCTGAGACAAAATATCCAACACCTAATGTTAAAAGAAAAAGGTTTCTTTAGCTCACCGTTTGTGGAGGTTTCAGTCTGCAATTACCTGGCTCCAAGGCAGGGTGGCATGGCAGAGGGGAAACAGTTCATGGCAGAGGAAGATACCAAAAGCAACAAGAGCAAAAGGGGAGGAGAGGAAACAAGCCTCTTTTCCTCCCTTATATTATATGCAGGCTACCTGCCCTAGGGCGGGTATAGCACTCACATCCCCCATCCCAGCACTAGACAATGAACCAATCACAAACTCTAGATTCAGCCACCTTAGAAAAGCCCCATGACCACATGAGGCTTTGAGGGATATCCAGACGCAAATCATACCAGATGGAGAATCATGGTTATTTTACTATGGTTTCTTTAAA